TTGGCACAGGATAGAACAGCATTTAGAGCTCTTGTACATATGGTAGCTATGAGTCACAAGCGACTCGATGGCACATAACAACAACAACATACAGTTTGGATTGACATAGTGACTGTAGCAATGGGCTCAAGTGCCAGAGATGGTGAGGATGACAGTTTCAGGTCCATTGTTCATAAGATCTCTAGGAACTGTACTTCATATCACATAGCACAATAATAATGCTGGGATTCACTCAGTTTCTTGAATGCATAGTTTCTCTTTTTTTATAATATTTGAGATGCTTTCTTCGAGCAAATCTTCAACAATGTTCCCCATGCCTTTTCTTGTTTCTCCTTATTTTAGAATTCTGATAATCTTTATTTCTTTTGATGGTGTCCCACATGTTTCTTTAGCTTTCTTCATTTTTCCTTCATTCTTATTCTAATTGGTCCTGTAACAGATTAGTATTGGAAGATTTGTACTTCAATCCCCTAATTCTGTGTTCTATGGCTTCAACTCTGCTCTTTCGTCCTAATGTGTTTTCTATTCTGAAATTTTAATTGTAATATTCAGAATTTCCATTTGCTGGTTTTGTATGGTGTTTAGTTTTTGTATCTATTTGGGCTTGCAAGTGTGTATATCTCAACTTGCAGAAGACATTTAACTATTATTCTTCTGAATTCCTTACCAGGAATTTATAATAGATTTTCTTCCTCAGAAAGGTTTCTGGTTCTATAGTCTAGTCACTTTTTGGATGCGATCTTATCTTGATTTTTTGAGTAGTTTAAACTTATCTGTTATCTCTGAGACATCATCTCTGACAACATTGTGTTGTCTTTATATTATTTTGTTTTGATATATCTGATTAAGCACTGAGAATGTGCTTCTCAGCTTGCTAGAACTGGCAGTAATTCTAATGTCTCCTCTAGTAGAAAAGGAGCTGGCCTTTATTCTTGCCTAATTGGTTAAAGTTACAGAGAGGGGTGTGTGTGTCTGTGTGTGTGTCTGTGTGTGTGTGTGTGTGTGTGTGTGTGTGTGTGTGTGTGTCTGTGTCTGGGCTATGTGGATACTTTTGGTGTCTGTTGCCAAGTCAAACAAAGAAGGAAAACAAAGCAAAGCAAACAGCAACAAAATCCCAAAATAACAACAGCAAAAACTTCCCTACGTCCAAGGAAGATTGGACAGTGAAAGAAAGAGATATTCAAGCTGAGAGCCAAAGAAGATTGGACAGTGAAAGAAAGAGATATTCAAGCTGAGAGGGGTCCCTGGGACAAAGCCGAAGGGATGCTGTCCCTCCACTTACTGACTTGTGGTTATGTGCGAGGGGAATCACTCCCCTGATCCTCAGAAGGGTATGAGGAGTAAGGAAGAGATTGCACCTTTCTTGTGGTCAGTCAACTGCTACTGTGGACATGACCATACTCTTGGGTTCCTAAGTTGATCAGAAAGTCTCCACAACTGTTGAAAATGGCCAGGCAATGCCATTTATAGTTCACTGTTTTGCTTATCTTTTTATTCAGTGTATTCATTCTATCCCTTCCTTTAGTTGGTGTTTGAACTACTTCTTTATATTTTCCATTGAAACTCAGGATTCAGGATGATCATCTTTGTTTTCTGGTATCTTAGTTGAAGAAAGTCCAGACTATTACCCTCCTAGCCTGCCATCTTTCCCAGATGTTCACTTTTTCCAGTTGATAAAATGAAAACTGAGATTATAAGCATTTTCTGGTCAGTTAGCCACCCTGACTTTTCAAATATTTTTTTTTTTGCTGATATCTGTGTAAGTAGCGTGACTCCTGGCTGAGGCTGAGGCTCTCTGTGGTTGGGCCTACAGGACAGAATTTGCAAACAAAGCAGGAACAATACATGGAAAGAGTTCAAAGAAAAGTCAAGAAGCATACTTTTACCGAACACTAAATAAGGGTTGAAGGATACTGTTATCTGGATGAATTTCTAACGTACAAGTAGACCCACAGTTTTCCTATTTCATAATAGGAAATTCATTTTCATAAACAAATTGTCTATATTGAGCATTCAAAAATGGGTATATAACAAAAGTGTTTGATAATTTTAATTTTTCCATCTTATATAGGTTTGAGGAGCTATTTTTAGACTATCTAATTCAAACTGCTAAGTCCTGGAATTGAATACATATGCCTTTGGAGTATGGAAATGCAAGGTTTTGTCTGAAAGGTACAAAGAACATACTTTGGTGAGACATATGGCTAAGCCAGTGGCCAGAATGTGTCACTCTAGGGATTCTGAAGACTCGGTTTACATATCTAACGTTTCTGAGGGAGAAACTATTAGAAAATCTTAGTCTGCACTTTCTCAGAAACAAAGGGAAACTACTCTTTCTAAAAGAGGAAAATATACTGGATTTACACAAAAAGTAGACCTGAGTGAAGCAGAAAGATAGAGATGAAGAAAACAAATTATTTTTCCACAAATATATCCATTTTTTTAAAATTCCTTCATGCTTTGTTATACATTATCTTTTCCTTGTAATTAATTTTAAAATGAAAGCTTAAATAGATAAATATCCTAAGGGAGACATTAGTTTTGTCTAAGGGATTGCTTTACATTGTTCAGGGAGGACCACAAAAGAGAGAAAATGTTGGAGAAATGCAATTTACAATATGAAAGTTAAAGAAACTTTATCTTGGGAGAAATTTAGGGATTACCCTGAAAAAAGATGAGACGGGTGCTTTCCATTGTGTATTTCAAAATCAGCCTCTGGTTGACATGCTACACATGCCTGAGAAATCATTAATGAAGCAAAACCATGAGAGAAGCTCAAGTTATATACAAGGTTTGAGAGCAAGAAGGCAGAGAAGAGAGGAATCGGGGTGGGGGGGAACCCCAAACAACCTGAGGAAAAAAAATGCTAAACATTTTCCAGATGAATGTAAAAGAACTATTGAATTACCTCAAAGAGGTAAAATGAGTTAGCTCATAACATACCAGAGAGGGTCCAGGGTTTGACGTAGGTGATCATTGTTACGCAGATATTTTGTGACAGGGCTGGCTCATGAGTTTTCTCCAGAAGGTCCCAGATATCAATAAAGCCATCTTCTCTGCCAATAAAGAAAACTCCAGGCCTTGTCAGGGACCAGTGCCCTGAGGTGTATTTTTTTGGTGCACAGCATGACTTAAATAGGGGTCCAAACTAAAAAAAAAGGATAGAAAGAAAAATTCAAAGTTTCTGTTACAATCTGAAGGGAATTCACAATGATTTTCAATTCCAAATCTGAATTGTTCACTATAAGTACAAGTCAAACGGGTATGATGAACAAAAATAAATCCATTTAGCATCTTTCTGTGGTAAGGTTTTCATATAATGCTAGCTCTTTTTTTACATGTGCTTTCACAATACTTTTTCATCTCTTTGGTTGCTTTTAGAAAAGACCAAACCTTCAAATCAAGTTGTAATAGTACTAATAATTCAACTGCTGTCCAAGTTCACTGTGAATTCTATGGAGACTGATGGACATATTGCTGCTGCTGTTGATGTTTTGTATCATCAAGTCAGAACTGAACCATAGCTGACTCTCCAAGAGGTTTTCAGAGGCAGTAATCACAAGGGAGGAGATTGTCCATCCTTCTCCTGAAAAACAGCTGGCGGGTTTGAACCGCATGCCTTCAGGATTACAACACAGATTCTTACTACTAGCCCACCAGAGCTCCAATTAATAATAATAAGTAAACGTTATAAGAAAATTATCTCTCTAGGCCTTCATGCCTGTTTCCCATGGAAACAGCTCTGGTAGCCAGGAAAATCAAATGGAAACTGGGAGTTGCATTTTGAAAATCAACAGTTAGCAAATGTGTGCTAAATAATTTCAGATGGAAGCATCCAGGGGGCTTATAAAACTTGTTTGGAAGGAACCAAAGACTACCAAGGCCTCGTGAGATCGTCTCTCTCTTCTTTACCACTGAATCATTTTGCATTCCTCAAGAAATTTTCATTGAGAAAGACGATCTGAATGTGCTTTCTCCCCACAGTGACACACCATCTGGCAATCAGGCCTACTCATATACCTACTTAACATATACAGGATTGAATAGATCATGGTGCTGCCCCTAACTCGAATACATGGATAAGAAGCTATTCTGTAGGGAATTAAGAATAGTATAGATTTCTTGGCTCAGATTTGTAGAGAGGTCTTAGGGAGCTCAGCTGTCATTATTTGTAGGGGAGTTAGGCTGCTAATTGGAAGACTGTGTGTGCTGCCCCTCCATCAGTTTGAATCCAGTAGGTGTTCTGTGGGAGAGAGATGTACAGTCTCTTCTCATGTGATTTACAGACTCTGAAAATGCAATGGAGGGTCAGATATGAGTCAGTTCCAACTCTATAGCTGTGACCTTTAACTTGAGGAGAGACAGTACTTCACACTTCACATCTGTTCTCCCTGCTAGAAGGGAACCAAGTTCCTAACCCCTGGAGACACTTTGGACAATCTTGTCTAAATTTTCCTTTTCTTTTAAAACTATTGAATTAAGACTTTTTCATTGTTAAATAATAAAAGCAACACAAAACTAAAAAAATCAAGCAAAACAGAGGTGGTGGTGTTGTTATGCATCAAAAACAGAGGTACATTTACTATAAAGTAAAAGTCCTTTTGTGGATGAGTATTTAAGTGTCTTTCCAATAACAATTCTTTGGTCAATATCCCTGCACACATATTCTTCCATGTTTCTTTACAAATTTGTGTAAGTTAGAACCACAGAAAAGTAACATATAGGAGAATATATATATGAAATATACATACATCATTAAAATTTTTATGATCTTGTAAAATATCCAACCTAAGAACTATATCACTTTAAACTTTCATTAAATCAGAATTTCTCTTTATTAGATTTTTGTTAACCTGGCTACTTTTTGCCAGTTTAATTTCTCAGCCCAGATCCAGCGTCTTTTGTAATCCCAACCATCAGATTATATTGTCACTGTCTCACCATTTCCATTGGTTCATGTTTGTTTCTGGATGGGGCATGCTCTTCTGAACCTGATCACATATTACTAGTGCAGAACAAAAATGCCAGACCAAACGTTTCTCCTTGGACTTATATTGTAATCAGTACCCTATCTTTTATTTTTAAAAAATATTAAGCAAGTCATTGGCCTACAATATATATCTCAAAGAAAAGGTTACATTTTCAGAGAACAAGAGCCTTGCAAATGTTTGATTCCCTGGGGGGTGGGGGAGGGTTGGGAAAAAGAGTAAATTCTTGTTTTTAAAAGGCTAACAATGCTTTTGCTAAGAGCTGGAGCCCTGGCCATCTGTTCTAATTTCTTTAAGAAGTATCCCAAAGGCATTGTTATGCCAGAACAGCCTGTTGTTCCCATTGTCCTTCTCATTAACAAAGGACCACACACCCACTCACACATTTTCCATGTAAACAACTTACCATAACACCTTCTTTCCAGATTGCCACATTCCATCCCCCAATTGTCAGGACAATGTCCTTGTAAAAGGGTGATCTCAGAATAGTGTTAACAGCTCCATCATGGACACCGCAGAGGCTAACTGGCTTCTTTACTGTTGGGGTTGAAAAAGCCAACCTTACTAATACTTTCAGGAGATGGATAGGCAATCTCCTCTCATGCAATTTATGGCCTCTAAAAACTCACTGGAGGGTGATTTATGGGTTGTTTCTTACTGGAAAGTACATAACAACAAGAAGAACACTGTTTAGTTTTCTGTAATGAAGAATGAACAGCCCTCCAATAGACAGATAAGTCTCAATTAATGAAATAAAAGAGTGGAGAGCCAGACAGAGGTGATTTGGGGTGAATTAAATTATCAAGGAATAGCATTTTTTACCTTTTTGATGAAAATTGATGAGGCCAGTTTTCAGGCTTACAATGATTTTGTAAAATGTTCTTATTAATTTACTAGTGTTACATTCAGCTAATAAATATTGCCTACATGTACCACATATTGAGAAATAGAGAACAAACAGGATCCTGCATTATGAAAGGTGTTGTGAAGGTAAGACAAAATACCAAAAGAATAACGAGAGAATATAACTTGGACTTGATGGCTAGAAAAGATTTTTCTGAGATGAGTCATCTGGGCCTGAGAAGCAGTGCAGCATGGGAAGATTCTGGTTTGGATGACCATTTTAGGTAGAGGAAGCAATACATACAACAAAAATATTGCAGAAAGAAATTGGTGCCTTTTTTACGTTTGAGGAAGATTATACAACTGGAGTTTAGTAATCATAGTGTAACCCATGAAACAAATGGGAGCTAGGTAGGTGCAGACAACTCAAGGGACTTATTGGAAGGGTTTATATTCTAACTGCAGCTGAGTGTGTTTTGATGAATCTCATTGGCCTGGAAGTGAAGCAGTTTGATTTTTCCAAAAGATTCCCTGCTACTGAGAGGAGAATGAAGGGTTGTCATTTGTAGGTACTATTGACCTGGCTCCGATATGAACCCTATGCACACCAAATGTGAGTCTATTAACCCTCACAATCACTGTACAGCTGGACCTCATCTCATTGCTGCAGTCACTGTGTCATCCATTTTGCTAAGGGTCATCTTTTCACTGACCTAACGTGATGTCTTTAGAGGCCAATAAAGGCTCAAGACGAGAGACAATGGGAAATTATTATGGTATCCTCTCCGAGAGATGATAGCAGCTTAGACTGGGGGCAATGGAGAAGAATGGATGGTCAAGAAGTATTTGGAAGTTAACATTTCCAGAGTTTGGGAATGGTTTGCATGGAAAATGGAGGAAAAATGTTGTAGTTCCCCACCTTCCCAAGCACTTAGCCCCTTGATGAAGCCTGACCATGTCTTGATAAGGCCTGACCATGTCCTAACAAGGCTACTAGATGGCCAGATCCTGACTGGGCCCTGGACTTGATCACATCCTGACAGGACCCTTGCCCCCAACTTCCCGAGCAAACTACCATCCCTTCTCAATGTCCTTAACAGCTCCTATAAAAGGAAACTGCCTTTGTCTGCCTGCATGCCATTCTGATCTTTTCTGCATGTGATCACCTGGCATCCCTCTCAGACCACTTAACAAAGACCTGTTCATTACTTGGGACAAGCTTCTTATTTTTTCTCTTTCTCAGCCCTCTTTCTAACAGAAAGAGTGAAAAGTGAAGCATTAACAATGACAGCCAGTCTCTGACAAGAGCAACTAGCTCAATGATGTTTCCATTCATCACAACTAAGATCACTAGAGAAGGAATTGCTAGTTGCTATAGAGATAGAGTCGAGTACAACTCATAGTGACCCTATGAAAAATAGATCTAAATCCAGTTCTATCCCATGACACCCTCATTATCTCTGACCTACTTGAGCCCATTGCTGTGTTAATTCACCACATTGAAGACTATGGCCTGGATCAGGCACACCTTAGTCTTCAGACTGAGAGCATTGCTACTCAGTACTTTGGAGTGGACACTGACAGCAGACTTTCCCAGTGTAATTCGTCTTTTCATTTAGTGGCTGTTGGTACCAAGAGTGTTGATTGTGGAGCCAAGCAAACTAACGCTGTTAACAATCTCTTCACCATCTATCATGCTGCTGCCAATTGGCCCAGTGGTGAGAATATTTGTTTTCTTGATGTTGAGCTTCAGTTTCACATTCTTGTATTACTTTTCTTAGGAATGGGAACAATATCAATTTTTTTCTATTCAGTTGGCCAGGCAGCTGTCCTACAAATATCCTGGTATAGACCGATGAGCACTTCCAGGGCTGCATCTGTTAGTTGAAACATGTCAATTGGTATCCCATTGATGCCTTATTTCCTTATTTTTTGCCAATGCCTTCAGTGCAGCTTGAACTTTGTTCATTATCAATTGGTGCTTGATCATATGGTACTGTCTGAAATTTTTATGTGTCAACTGTTTCTTTTTTTTTTTTTGGTACAGGGACTCTGTGTGTTTCTTCAGTCTTCTTTTAATGGTTCCTGATCATTCAAGATTTCCCCCATAGATCTCTAAGTATTGCAACTCAAGGTCCAAATTTGTTTCTCAGTTCTCAGCTTGAGAAATGCTAAGTGTTCTTCCATTTTAATTTACTTATTCCAGTTCTTTGCACATTGTAATACTTTTTGTCTTCTAAAGATTCCCTTTGAAATTTTCAATTCAGCTCTTTTACTTCTGCATCTCTTCTCTTTATTTTGGCTTCTCAATGCTCTAGTGTAATTTTCAGAGTTTCTTCTGACACTCATTTTGTGTGTTTTTTTTTCTTACTCCTCTGTCTTTGTAATGACCTTTTGCTCTTTTCATGCATGGTATTTTTTGTGTTATCCCAACTCATCTGGTCTTCAATCGCTGGCTAGTGTTCAATATTTCAAACTTATTCTTAAGATGTTTTTGTTAAGTACTGTTGAGCTGTAGACAACTCATAGTGACCCTATGAACGAAAGGCCTGAACACTTGTATAACTTTCATTGTTTCTCCAAGTTCATAGAGTTTCTGGAGGCAAGCTATTTTGGAAGTGGATGCCACTCCTGCTTCCAAGCTTGTTTAATCAGGGAGCTCCTCCAAACACTGTTCACCATGGGCAACCATTATCACATTTGACACATCAGTGTCACAGTGTTTAGTATCATAGCAACCATGAGTTACCACTGTACAGAAAATGGACATACCAGTGCTATACCACGTAGAAGAATGTTTGACGAAAATTAATTAAAAACAGGCCCAAGGGCTGCACCTTTGGCTTTGTAGCACAACTTTCTATCCACTAGGCCAACAGAGCTCTCTCATCTTCTTTGTTGTTGTTATTAAGTGCAGTTGAGTCATAGACAACTCATAGCTACCCTATGCACAAAAGATCTGACCACTGTATAACTTTCATCATCTCTCCAAGTTCATAGAGTTTCTGGAGGCAGTTATTTCAGAAGTGGACGCCATTCCTGCTTCCAAGCTTTCTTCAACTTGGATAAGAAAGACCCAAAGTACTATTTTGGTTCCTGTGCACTTTTAAAAATTTTCTTCAGGCTTAATTTGAGCTTGCACATGATGGTCTGTTCCACAGTCAGTACCTGGGCTGGCTTTGGTTACCAGTATTTAGTTTCTCCAATTCTTTCCAATCAGATTCCTGTGCAGTCCATCAGATGAGGTCGATGTGTAAAGTTACCATTTGGTTTTGTGTTTTTGGTTTTTTATTTTGGTTGTTGTTGCTGTTATGTGCCATCAAGTCACCTGTGACTTACAGTGATCCCATGTACCTGAACCTTGCTCTATCCTGAGCCAACATAATTGTCTCTGACACATCTATCCCCCTTACCCTAGACCCATCTCATCAAGGGTCTTCCTCTCCTAAGCTGTCCCTCTACCCTCCCAAGCATGATATCCCTCTTCTCCTAGGGTTTTCCCCTCTTTGCAATATGCCCAAAGTATGTAATATGAAGCTTCAGAATCCTTCATTCCAAGGAACAGTCTGGTTTTACCCTCTCCAGCATGAACCTGTTTGATCTCCTAGCAGTCTGAACCTGTTTGATCTCTTAGCAGTCCATGATATATTCAATACTCTTCTCCAGCACCACAGCTCAAAGGTTTCAATTTTCCTTTTATCATCCCTAGTCATTGTCCAGCTTTCTAATACATAGTACGTAATTGTTATGGCCTGGATCAGGTGCACATTAGCCTCCAGACTGATGCTGTTGCTCTTCGGTACTCTGGAGAGGTCACTGACAGTAGATTTTTCTAGTGCAATTCATCTTTTGATTTCCTGGCTGCTGGTAGGAAGAGTGTTGATTGTAGAGCCAAACAAACTAAAGCTGTCAACAAACACTTGTTACAGAAGATCAAAGAATACAGTCTTCAATATGGATTGTATCTCAATGTTGAGAAAAAGAAAGACTCTTACCACTGGATCTTTAGGCACCATAAGGACAGATGGAGAAAAGACTGAAACTGTGAACAACGTCATCTTTTTTGGGTCCACAATTAACACCACTGGTACCAGCAGTCAAGAACCCCAGGAGACACTGCACTGGGAAATCCTGCAGTTAGGAACTTCTCCAAATTATTGGGGAGTAATGATGTCAGTTTGAGGACTAAGGTACATTTGATTCAGACCATGTTCTTTCTGATCACTTGCTGTGCATCTGAGAGCTGGACAATGAATAAGGATGACAGAAGGATTGATGTGTTTGAGTTGTGGTGTTGGAGAAAAGTGTTGACTATCCCATGGATTGCCAGAAGAATAAAGATGTCTTGGAGAGGATGCAGCCAGAATGCTTTTTGGAGACAAGGATGATAAGGCTTTGCCTCACAAACTTTAGGTGTGTTGCTAAGAGGGACCATCCATTCCTTGAAGAGGGACATGATGCTTGGAAAGGCAGGAGTATGGTGAAGGAGAGGAAGACCTTCAACAAGGTGGATTGATTGACACTGTGAATGCCTCCATGAGAGGATAGCACAGGATAGGACAGGGTTCAGATTCGTTGTTCTTAGGGTTGCATGGGTCGTACTCAGCTCCATGGCACCTAAGAACAACAATAAAAAAAATGTAATAGATCCATACAATAGAATCTTCTTTCAAATCCACCAGATGCTCTGCTGGAGAAGGAGGTACAATCTCCTCTTGTACCAGTCAGATCCAATTTAACAGTACACACAAAAATAATAATAAAATAGAAAAAAACTTCTTCTTCCATAAAGAAGAATGAAATACTGATAAATACTCAACATGGACCAGCCTTAAAACATTATGTTAAGAGAAAGAAACAAATCACAAGTTTTATGATTCTTCTATGTAAAGTGTCTAGGATAGGTAAGCCCAGAGCAACAGAATTCAGATTACTGGTTGCTGAGCTAAGGGCAGGGACAATGAGGCATGGAGCTCCTTTTGGGGTGATGAAAAAATTTTGGTTTTAGATAGTGATTATAGTTGTACAACACTCCTGTGAATATACTTAATGCTACTGAACTGTACACTTGAAAATTACTAAAGTGTACTACTGTATGTTCTATGTATTTTACCTTAATTAAAGAAGAAATAATAAGCTAGATGTTTTCAGTCTAGATGTTTCCACCCTAAGGTTGGGGGAAGGAATAACTTGTTTTCCTTTTGTCCTTTGAAAGATCTTAAAGTAATGGATGTTCCATTGGTACTTCAGTGAATGCATCTGCCTGTAGCTATTAAGGTTAATAATGGAGTGCCAGAGTCGATAGGTCAGGTTACTGTATGAAAACTCAATACATAAAAAGTAGTGATGTCCCTCCTATACACACCCTAGAGTCAGTATCTTAATGTGGGTGTTAGCAATGAGATATAGTTAAAAGCAGAGACCCTGCCTATAGTAGACTGTCTAGCTTCAAATCCTGCCAAAGCCACTTAAGAGTGTTTTTGCCTGTAGAGTTGCTGTGAGGATTATACATATTCATCTGTGGGTAGTCCTTAGAGAGCCTGTGTGCTTATTTGAGCCTATAAAATGATTATACGAATTGTCATCATTCAACACAAATTTCTTGTCTTGTCACTTATCTCATTCGAAATTTTGTTTAATTCAGCCTTCTTTGTCCCACACAGAGGGTAGTGACTTGTCCTTAAAAAGTCTTTTTTTAGATGAAGTATTTATTCTTCCCATCTAGTTCTATCCTCAAGAAAGGAACACGGGGTTCCAATCAAACTAAGAAGGATAGGTCCCAGTCACCACTTCTAACCAACAGTTATACTTCATCTTTATTCAAGAAATCTATGAAAGACTCTGTGGCTGGCAGCTCCAAAGGCAAATACTGCCAGTTCACAGAATGAAAATAGGACACACAGTTTACCATTCCGAACATCTACACAGTGACTGTCACAGCACTGCCACCATTGTCCAAAAGGAATGTCAGTGTTTCCTGTCTTTCTCTGTTACAAACCAGTTAATAATTTGACATAATTTTCATAGTTGTTTATCTAGGTGAGTAAAACTACTACCCATTTTCTAAAATGAACTAAATATCTTGAAATTGAAAGTTACTCTTCTTGCCATATTCAAATCATGACTAATACTGAGAAGAAGAGGAATCCCAGGACACCTGCTCATGTTCAAGGTTAAGAAGCTGTTGTCCCAACAGCGCAAGAGAACATTGCCTGCTTTAAAATCAGGAAAGGTTTGTGCCAGGACTTTGTTTTTCTCCATAGCTATTCAATCTGTATGCTGAGCAAATAATTGGAGAAGCCGAACTATTATGAAGATGACATCAGGATTGGACGAAGACACATCAACAACCTGTATTATGCAGATAACATAAGCTTGCCTGCTGAAAGTGGAGAGGACTTGTCACACTTGCTGCAGAAGAGCAAAGGCCTTCAATATGGATTACATCTCAGCATCGAGAATACAAAGATCCTCTCCTAAGGTCCCATTGTTATAAATAACATTTATTTTGTCCACACACATTCAGTTTGCGTTCAGATTCTTGTGTAAGGAAAAATACTTTTGATTCAAGAATAAAATAGCTACACTGAAGTCAAGGCTGCCAAAATCTTCTCAAGTCTGAGGCATATTCGTATACTCTTGAACCAGATTCAGCACAAATGAACAGAGTGAATCTGGAGGTGAGGACTCTGTCTCCAGGCACTGCTGTCCGTAGGCTATGACTGACTTCTGACCTCAGCCACTCATATTTCCACTTGTTCCACTCACAGTATTGACCTGATATCTTTCTGTACCTTAGCTAGCTGCTGCACAACATAGCTCTCTCCCACCAGTAGCATTGTAACAGCCTTTATCTGTCCAGGGGTCCCAGGAGCTGCTTTCTTCTTTTGTTAGGTGCCATCAGGTCAAATATGACTCATAGCAACCCTATGAACAACATATCTAAACCATGTCTTCTCCTGTGCCATCCTTACCACCTCTGATACACTTGAGCCCATTGCTGCAGTTACTGTCAATCCATATGGTTAAGAGTCTTCCACCTTTTCATTGACCAGCCACCATTCCAATCATGAGGTCTCTTTCTAAGGAATACCCTCTTCTAGCAACATGCCCAAAGTATGTGAGATGAAGATTAATCATATTTGCCTCTGAGAAGCACTCTGGCTACACCTTTTCCAAGATGTATCTATTTGTTCTAATTGGCTGTCTGTGGACTATTCAGTACTCTACTCCAACACAACTGAAAGACATCAATTCTTCTCCAGAACTGCACAAATTATCCAAGAAGCTGGACTCTATAAACAGGAGTGCGTCATTTGGATTGGCGGGACACTCATCAATAACTTGTGTTATGCAGATAACACAACCTCACTTGCTGGAAGTAAGGAGGATTTGAAGCACTTGTTGCAGAAGATCAAGGAATGCAGCCTTCAGTATGGATTGCATTGCAATATCAAGAAAACAAGGATTCTTACCACTGGACCAATAGGCAGTATCATGATGGATGGAGAGGAGATTGAAACTGTCAACATTTTCATCTTGCTTGGATCCACAATTAACAGCCTTGGAATGAGCAGTCAGGAAATAAGGAGATGCACTGCACTGGGAAAATCTGCAGTTAGGGACCTTTCCAAACTTCTGAGGAGTAATGATGTCAGTTTGAGAACTAATGTGTATCTCATGCAGGCCATAGTCTTTCCAATTACTAGCTATGTATCTAAGACCTGACAATGCATAAGCATGACAGAAAAAGAATTGACACCTTTGAGCTGTGGTGTTCGAGAAGAACACTGAACATACCATGGATGGTAAAAGAACAAACATATATGTCTTGGAGAGGGTGAAGTGGGACTGCTCTTTCGAAGCAAGAATGATGAGGCTTTGCCTCATGTACTTTGGACATGTTGCTAGGAGGGGCTATTCCTTAGAGAAGGACATGATGGTGGGAAGGGTGAAGGGTTGGCGAAGGAGAGAAAGACCCTCAACCAAGTAAAGTGACACGGTGACTACTGTAATGGGCTCTCGTATGTCAGGAAGTGTGAGGATGGCGCAGGACAGAACGGTTCAGCTCTATTTTTCTGTTCATAGGGTCGCTATGAGTTGGGCTCAACATGACAGCACCTAACAACAAACAGCAACAGCAACATGCTAGGAGTTGTGAGATGAAGCTTCTCCATTCTTGTTTCCAAAAAGTACTCTGGCTGCACTTTCCCCAAGACATATCTGCTTATTCTTTTGGCAGCCTGTGAGATATCCAGTATTATTCCCCAAAGCCACAAGTCAAAGGTATCAATTAATCTTTTCTCTTCCTTACTCATTGTCCAGCTCTCAGATGCATAGCAAGTGATTGAAAAGACCGTGGCCTGAGTCAGGTGCAGCACCTTAGTCTTTAAACTGACATCATTCCTTCTTCCTTTGCATATGGTTATTTCCCTCCTTTGAAATGTAGTTCAAATGTGTTTTTCTGCCATGATAAATGAGCTTTGTATTAAGTAATCAGCTCCATGGCTTTAAGCCTAGTAAAGGCACTTTGCTTATTGGGGACCTGTGTTCTAGACTCCTGCTCACACTTGGTTGTAACCCTTATTCCTCTGCTCACCTGTCCAGAACACCTGGGCCCATGTAAGAAAAGAAATGCACAGATGTCACCTATCTCAGCCTTAAACGAAGATTCAGTGGTCTCTTCTACTACATTGCCTTGGGATCTTTAAGACCATTGTAACTTACACAATGACATAGACTTGGATTTTTCCACACTGATGAGCTCCTGAGTGTCAAATTGCTGAGCCAGGATTCTTATTTCTTAATTAAATTGTCCAGATATTTTACTCATTTAAGAATTTTAGAGACCAGTGTTCTTTAAATTTTGGCATGAAAACAAATCACTTGGAGAATTTTATGAAAATCCAGATTTGGGTCCAGTAGGTGTAGGGCAGAATTCAAGATCTTATGTTTCCAACAATTCTCAGGTGCAACCCATCCTGCCAATTGAAGACCCTCCCTTGGAATAACAAATGTATGGCCAGAAGTAGTACATATCTTCCCTCCCACTCATCAGCTGTTGTTAAGTGCCATTAAGTAAACTATGATTCAAGCAGCCCTGTGAAAACAGATGTGAACCTTGTCCTGTCCTCCGCCATCCTCATCATCTCCCTAACGCTCAAGTCCATTGTTGTAGTCACTGTGTCAACATCCATCTCTTTGAGGGTCTTCCTCTCTTTTTCGGACCCTCTACCTTTCCCAGAAAGATGTCTTTTTCCAAAGACTATCTCCCTCCTGACAAGGAGTACCCTAATTGAACTCCCTCCAAGACAGATTGGTTGGTTACTATTTCTTTTAAACTTTCTTGACAGCCCATGGTATATTCAATACTCTTTTTAAACACCAACAATGCAAAGGCATTGATTATTCTTTGGTCTTTATAGGCTGTTAGTTATTTGATACTTGGTGAGATTTCCCCCCAGATAGTTTAAATTAAAAGGAATGCCAAAACGTACTTGCAAGCCTTCCAGTATCAGGATCTCTTTCCATTTTCCAATCTGTATATACCACTTCACCTTCCTAAAAAATTACAGGTTCTCAATGAGTACAGTTATGACTTAACAGACAAAAAGATCCCACATCCAGGTACTAAGACTGACTGTAATCAAAACCATATCCAAAGCAAAAGGCCACTTTAATGAAATAATTTGATACAAGGATCAAAGGTTAAAATTGACTATCTGATTGAATGCTGAACAAAACAAAACTTTTTTTTCATTTTTTTATTGAATATCACAGCTGTGGAGATCTGTGCACAAAAGCCTCATATGTAGGGGTTTCCAGTTTTTGTTTTAACAGGAAATTATTCTATTGGCCTGAATACTTCATGAGGGGAGGTGGTAGGTTAATTTTATTCAGTGATTTGTTCTCAGCAGGTAATAAAGTCAGTACTTACTAAATATCTGTCTGATAAGAGACAAAGTGAGTATGTGAACATAAAATAGGACACTCTTTTTTAGAACTGAGAACAGGAAACATAAATTCAATCAAGATAACATAATGAATAAAAATAGTTGTATTCTTTGGCCATTTTAAGGAGAAGGCAGAGCAGAGGAATCTAATATAAAGAAGAGGAGGGCCTAGCCACACGAAGAGAAAGACAGACAGAAAAAAGGACAGCATAGAAGAAATCTAGAGAAAAGTTTACTACCACGCTGCTGTGCCATAGAGGAGAAAACAAGTTCTGAGAGGTTAAATGATTTACTTCCGTTTCCCTCAGACACTGAGATCCCCTCATTTCAGCCCTGGTGGTGGAGTCCGTAGTGAGTTGCAGTGGGCTGTCTCCAGTGGTTCAAAACTACCAGTGTCTTGGTGAGAGAAAGATTGTCAGTCTCCTCTTTATGATTTACAACCTCAGAAACCCTGAATCATAAAGAAGCAATGAGTCACAACTGACAGTAATAAGAAGAAAGAAGACCTTAGTGGCTAACAGCCAAGCACGTGGCTGCTAGCGAAAAGATAGGCTATCTGAATCCACATAGAGGTACTCTGACTTAGAGAGTAAGGTGTGCCTGATTCAGGCCATAGTCTTTTCAATCACTTGCTATGTGTCAGAATAGAGTGACAGAAGAATTGATGTCTTTGCATTGTGGTGTTAGAGAAGAGCACTGTATATGTGCCAAAAGAACAAACAGATATTTCCTGGAGAAAGTCAACCAGAGGTAAAAGTGCAGCCATAGTGTTCCTTGGAGGCAATGATGGTGAAGCTTCCTCAAAGCACTTCATGCTTTGGGCATGTCGCTAGGAGAGACTATTTCTTGGAAAGGGATGTCATGCTTGGAAAGGTGAAGGGTCAGCTCAAGAGAGGAAGATTCTCAATCAGATAAACTGACAGAGTGACAGCAGCAATGGACTCAAGTGTGTCAGAGGTGGTGAGGATGGCACAGGATAGGAGAGTATTCAGATGTGTTTCGTTGGTCATGGGGTCCCTATGACTTGTACTCAACTTGATGGCACATAACAGCAATGACAGAGGCTCTTTGGGAGAGAGAACTGGCCGTCAGCTCCCCTGAAAATGTCAGCCAAGATAATAAATTCCATTGGTTACATGAGTCAGTCCTGAGTTGGAATTAACTGGACGGCACCATACAACAGGAGGAAAATTTCAAAGAAGGGTAGATAAAAGAGGAAGACATGGAGAAGAAGGATGGGATGGGTAGTCAAAGAGGAAGACAGGAAGCATTTGAATTATGCAAAGTGATACGTAAACTATTCCAGGGCAGGGACCACCCACCCGTTTATTCAACTGTGCTTTCCTCATCCATGTTAATTCAGTTAGCAAACTAAGACTGTACATAGTGCTAGGAATTTAGAGTTAGAGAACAAGTTTTCTTGTTTGGTCTAAGGGAGGAAAACAGCACAGGCTATGTATTACGGCTCTGTTGTTCTATAAAGAGTACAGAGGTACTATGTAAAGTCTTGACACATCACCTCCTAATGGCCTACTGGATAAGGAGCTGTGCTGCTAACCCATAAGCAAGTGGTTCAAACCTACCAGCCACTCTGTGGTAGAAAGATGGGACTTCTTTCCCCATGTGACTCACAATCACCAAAAACTCACTGGTGTCACCTGTGCGTTGGTTCTGACTCAATGGCAATGATTTTGCCAATGATTAAAATCACCTACCTTGGGCTTGGCAGCATAACTTTCTGTCCACTAGGCCAATGTAGCTCTCTCTAAGTTGTTGTTGTCATTGTTAGGTGCCGTCGAGTCGTAGACGACTCATAGTGACCCTATGAGTGGAAGGCCTGAGCATTGTTCATAGAGTTTCTGGAGGCAAGCCAATTTGGAATTGGATGCCGCTCCTGCTTCCAATTATCTTTTTAGTAGAGATTCTAATATAAATCTTGCTGCACTCTTGAGGTCTGGTGGCACACTGGCTTGACACTTGATTGCTAACTGAAAGGTTGACTATTTGAACTCACAGAGCAGCTGGTGTATTTGAACCATGCACCTTTGGGTTAGCAGCACAATTACTTACCAGGAGGCCACCAGTGCTCCTTAGAATAGAATTAACTGTTCGTAGGTTTTCAAGGCTGTGACCTCTTGGAAGCAGATTGCCAAGCCTTCTGAGGCAACTCGGTGTGAGTTTGGACCACTAATCTTTCTTTCAGTTAGTATTTAAAAGTGCTTAACCATTTGAACCACTAAGGGACTCCATACAGATCATAAATATGCATCCTCTTGGTTATTATAGTAGATGCTAGAAAATGGTAGGCGTTATTATTTATTTTTTAAAATTGAGCTTCTCACTGTCTTTCCTACTAGATTGTGCTATCCTAACACATAAATTTTCTTAAGTGTGGTTTCTTCCACAAGATGTGGGTGTATCACAAATATTTGTGGACTTATCAATGAATTATTAATAGAGAGGGTCTTACTCTGGTAGTCTACTGGTAAGGAGCTGCACTGCCATCCCAAAGGTGTGTGATTCGAATCCACCAGATGCTTCCTGGGATGGGGTGGGGTTGGAATAGTGAAGATAGACAATCTCCTCCCCTGCAAAAACTGCCTCTTAAAACTCACTGGAGAGTCAGCTGTGGATCAGTTCCAACTCAATAATACACAACAGCAAAACCAACCAAATTTTATACATTTTTCAACATTGAATTAGGAGCATTTCAAATGTGAAACTGTAAGGCTCCAAGATTAAAAACTTTAATGAAAACAAGCATATGAAAATGGTGTGTATATATACTAGTTCTAAGTCAAAACCAAAGCCATGGCTATTAAGTTGATGCCAGCTCATAGCAACAAAGGACAGAATCGAGCTGGTTCATAGGATTTCTGAGGCTACAAGTGTTTATGGAAGAAGACTGACTCATCTTTCTCGTGTGCAGCAGTCTGTGAATTTGAGCTTACAACCTTTAAGGGACAAGCTGGTGCTCAGCACTGCCCACCTCTCAGTCACTTCCCTGCTGTCGAGTTGTAACTGACTCATAAATGACTCTCCAGGTTTTCCAAGGCTGTAAATCACACGGGAGGACACTGACCATCCTTCTCGTAAAAAGCAGCTGGTGGATTGGTTTTCCAAGGCTGTAAATCACACGGGAGGACACTGACCATCCTTCTCGTAAAAAGCAGCTGGTGGATTGGTTTTCCAAGGCTGTAAATCACACAGGAGGAAACTGACCATCCTTCTCATACAAAGCTGCTGGTGGATTTGAACCCTCTCCCTTGGGATGGCAGTGCTGTGCTCCTCTGACTAGGCTACCAGCATTATCAGGTCTACATAAATATTAGGTGTTCTTATAAAGTAATATGTATAAAATATACTTGTGATCATATGCCTCAATGCAATCCTAAGTATTATCTTCAAAGGTAGGTAATTTTAACTCACCTCTGTTCCCACAAAGAACTTTGTGCAGAACTCTTCTATTGGCTTCAAAAAACTGTTTGTCTCAATTTCCAGATTATGGTATATGCTCAATTCTCCTGCCTTTATTGCCTTGCCCTGGGCCAATAATTTCTCTGGGAGAGAAATAGAGAGAGAATAAGTACATATTTATAGTGAAAGTTCTTCCCCAATACCATTTACATTATCTGCTTTTGGTCATACACAGCACAGTATGGTGAGCAGAAGTCCAAGCTTTTTTAGACTTCTAATTTAGCAGCAGAACCCTTTACTTAAACCAAAGCTGATGTAGAATTCCCAGGCTACACAACTGATCAAAGGGGTATGGAGTTTGAGCAAAAAAGGAAAGGGGTTTTGTCAATGGTTCAAAGAGAAGAAGGCCTCAGAGAAATGGTATCATCAGCTATGTCTACTCTATCTTGACCAGAATTACTTTTGGAAATTTACTAAACTCAAGGTCATCCTCATGAGATGTCGATTTTTCCATCACTGGGAAGAGTGATGACAATAGCATCTAATATTTATTGAGTGCATACTACATTCCAGTCACTAGATTATGTGCTTTACATAAATCATTTCATTTGATTCATTATTTCCTGAGGTCTTTAAGGATGAATGGAGGGAGGTTCAGAGAGGTTAAGTAACTCTTTTTTTTTTCCTGTTGGTTCTCCTTTCATTCTTTTAAGGCAGTGGTTTCCACAGGTCAGTTAAGAGATAAGAAGCATGGTCCATGGCAGTTCGTTTTACAACTCCGGTTTGTTCTCACTTCATTCCCTGAAATTAGCGTTTTTTTGGTTCAGAACTCCAGAGGCTGAGCTGGAACCCCCAGGCTCCGTCCTGGCACAGGGTCAGTTCATAGCTGGTGTTTCCCCGGCATGGCCTCACTCCTGCTTTGGAGCGATAGGTTACCTTTCTTCTTTCTTCGGTTTTTACTCAAATGTCATCAAGTTTGCAGGAACCTGTTGTTTGTTACTTTGGCAGGCTGCACTCAAATGCTTAAACCACAGCATTGCATTCATCCTATTGCCAGCTTGAAACTTGTATGAATTTCCTTTCTCAGAATCAGTCAACAAGAAGAGATCTGGATGTTCTAGGTCATCAGCCATCATCACCATCCATCCAACAACAGACACATTCTTATTTGACGTGGATTTGAAATGTTTTCTTTTTGTTGCCTTTAGAGATTTGGCAGCATAGTAAAAAAGCTGGGTCCCACACAAAGCTGCCCAATATTTGTCCAAGATGCTACTGTTGGCTTTTTGCCTTCTTTTAACAAAGTTTTTCTCCTGAGAACACCTTGAATAGTAACGGCTCCTGGGTATAAATGTACTGCCAAGTCTTCTGATTCTGCAGAACTTCTGGCGTTCACGTGGCTTCGATAGCCATTTCGTGCCATTCTTGTCAGCGAGCGGAGAGAATAGTATAATTTGCTCCTTTGAAAAGCAGGCCATGACGTCTCTTCACTTAGTTCAGAACCATCACTGCTACCTATTGATATCCCACTGGAAAGAGTAGAGCTCTCTGCGTGGCTCCGAGATGGTGCGTGGGGCTCCATGACGCTGTCATCTAGCAGGTGTCTGGGGCCCGCATTTGGGAACGTTGCACTCTTAAACTCTGCTGTGTTCATTTTATGAATGAAATTATAGCCCAGGCTATGGCACTTCCTATGTCCATGTGGGATCAGATTCCGAGGGGATGGGGGTGTCTGTGGTAGCAAGGCTCCTTCAGCGGCTACACTTTTTCTTCCACTTTTTGGAGACGCTCCTACTTCAGGACCTAATAAGTCTTCCCTGGATGCAGCAGAACGTGGCGTGCTTGTCCCTGGTTCTATCTTTAATGAAAGCTTGTAATTATCATCTTCCACAAACTTCTGCAGTTCTTCAATATACTGAACAGAGTTCAGATATTTTTGGACATGAGGCAACATGGGAATATCATATTCACAGGACTGCTGTAAATCAGAAATTATTCTAAGGGTGTTATTCATCAAATTTGATCTCTGTTCATTTTCTAGAATGCTGCCGGTTGATGGGTATGCTGAATCAATATATGTTAAATCTGACAAATCGATACCTAAATAGGGAATACACGGTGTCATCTTTAAGCTACTTATATAATCTCTGAGTCTTTTGTAGTTATCTTCTTTACTCATTACATATTCTAATTTCTCAAAGGTTGTTTTGTCGTGTTAAGGCTCTGGAGGAAACACACAGGAATAATGTACATGAGGCCTTGGACGTGAAGTGATTGGGCCCCTGTTGCTGTTAACATAGGATTGAGGACTGATGTGTGGGAACATGGACCTGATGAACGGACAGGCAAGCAGTGTGAATATTGCAGCCACTGCTTCTGAGAAAAGTAGCAGTTCTGAGTCTTTAAGTGACAGAGGTTCTGAATTGAAGAAAAGTTTTGATGCTGTGGTATTTGACATTCTTAAGGTTACACCAGAAGAATATGCGGGTCAGATCACACTAATGGATGTTCCAGTATTTAAAGCTATTCAACCAGATGAACTTTCCAGTTGTGGATGGAATAAAAAAGAGAAGCACAGTTCTGCACCAAATGCAGTTGACTTCACAAGAAGATTTAACCATGTAAGCTTTTGGGTTGTTAGAGAGATTCTTCATGCTCAGACATTGAAAATTAGGGCAGAAGTTTTGAGCCACTATATTAAAACTGCTAAGAAACTGTATGAGCTGAATAACCTCCATGCACTTATGGCAGTGGTTTCAGGCTTACAAAGTGCCCCAATTTTCAGATTGACTAAAACATGGGCGTTATTAAGTCGAAAAGACAAAACAACCAGAGAGGTTAAGTAACTCTTAACACTTATGATTTCATACTGATTGCACACACTAATTGTGAGTTAACGACATGCTGTTCCGTGTTAATTTTAATAATTTATCTTCATAATACTCTATAAAATAGCATCTATTTTATTTAACCCCCTTTCTCATTAAATTGTTGTTGTTGTTGTTATGTGCCATCGAGTCGCCTGCGACTCATAGCAACCCTATGTACAACAGCCCTAAACTCCGCTCTGTCCTGTGCCAATCGCACTGTCTCTGACACTCCCATCCCAATTATCCCAGTCACTGAATCAATCCACCTCATAGAGGGCCTTCCTCTCCTGCGCCGTCCCTCCACCCTCCCAAGCATGATGTCCCTCTCTAAGGACCGGTCTCTCTCCTCACTACATGTCCAAAGTAAGTTAGACGGAGCCTCAGAATCCTTGCCTCCAAGGAGCCACCCAGTTTAACCCTCTCCAGGGCAAATCTATTTGTTTTCCTAGCAGTCCATGGTATTCTCAGTACTCTTCTCCAGCACCACAGCTCAAAGGCATCAAAAGAGATAATTAGTTCCAGTCAACTAAGAAATGGTGATGTTGGAATTCAAACCCAGCCCATGGACTCAGCAGTGCTGTCACTGGAGCTGGTGTCACCCAGTACTGTTATTCATGGTGTCATCCCATCATCATCCTGCATGGCCTATGTCCATCCAGACCATATTCACTGCTGTACTCATAGATGACCCGCTGTGAGTTTTCTGAGGCTGTAAATTACATGGGGGGATACTGCTCATCTTTCTCGTGCAAAGCCACTAGTGGATCAAACACCAGAGAGGGACCACCTTTGGGTTAGCAATGCCTCATGGACTAGACCATCAAGGCCCCCTGCACAGAATCTTTAATATTTATCACCAATTTTAATCATAGAATGTGATAAATGTAGTTGTAAATTGCTTAAACATAATACTTGTTGTTGTTATGTGCTGTTGAGTTGCATGCGACCCCTAGCAACCCTACGTACAGCACCTCTGAACCCTGCCCTGTCCTCAACCAGTCTCACTAAATGCAGCACACCAACCACCATTGCCTCAGTTACTGTATCACTTTATCTCATCTCTCTTATGTTGTCCCTCCACCCTTCTGAGCATGATGTCCTTCTCCAAGGATTGGTTTCTCCTGTCCACATACCCAAAGCATGTGAAATGGAGCTTCAAAATCCTAGCCACCAAGGAGAAACTTGTTTTCACCCTCTCCAACACAGACCTATTTGTTTTCTTGATAGTCTATGGTATGTTCAAGACTCTTCTCTAGCACCACAATTTGAATGCAATCCTTAGTCATTGTTCAGCTCTCTGATGCATAGCAAGTAATTGTGAAGACCATGGCCTGGATTAGGGGCACCTTAGTCTCTAGACTGACACTGATATTTTTCAGCACTTTGGAGAGGTCCCTGACAGCAGATTTTCCCCAATGTAATTTGTCTTGATTTCCTGACTGCTTGCATTAATTGTGTTGATTGTGGAGGCAAGCAACGGTAATTGTAAAGAATCAATCTCTTCTGCATCTATCATGGTGCTGCCAATTGGCCCAGTGGTGAGAATCTTTGTCTTATAGATGTTGAGCTTCAATCCATATTGAAGAGTACAGTCCTTGACCTTCTGCAATAGGCACTTCAGGTATTCTTCAGTTTCAGGAAGCAAGGTTGTGTTATCTACATATCGTAGGTTGTTAATGAGTCTTCCTCCAATCTTGATGCCACACTCCTCCTCATAAAGCCCAGCTTCCCAAATGATTTGTTCTGCATACAGATTGAAAAGGTATGGAGACAGGGTGCATCCCTGATTTAAATTATATGAATACTAACAACAAAATTGTTTTGTAAACTCTTTCTACATTGAATAACAACATTATTAGTTACATTATTAGTAACTGAGAACATATTTTTTATATTTTTCTCATTGTTTCCTTTTAATTATAGTTTCATTCTAAAAAGAATTATTGATATAGGTTTACAAATACTAAATGGCAAAATATTCTGGTTAAAACAGCAGAAAATTCAGCAAAAGTCGAGATTATAAAGACACCAGCAGCAATGGCATGTGTTTGTGGGGAATACAAAATCATGTGAGTTGAAACACTCTCATTAGTAATAAGTTAATAATAATGACAGCTCTGTCCAGAATACATTAGAAGTTTCAAAAAGTAAATTAGCATGGATTGTTGTTGTTGTTATGTGCCGTCGAGTCGTTTGCGACTCATAGCCACCCTATGTACTACAGCCCTAAACCGTGCTCTATCCTGTGCCAATCTCATTGCCTCTGACACACCCATCCCGAGTACCCCAGTCACTGAATCAATCCACCTCATAGAGGGTCTTCCCATCCTGCGCTGTCCCTCTACTCTACCCAGCATGATGTCCCTCTCTAAAGACCTGTCTCTCCTTACAACATGTCCAAAGTATGTCAGACGAAGCCCCAGAATCCTTGCCTCCAAGGAACAGCCTGGTTTAATCCTCTCCAAGATGAATCTGTTTGTTTTCTTGGCAGTCCATGGTACATTCAATACTCTTCTCCAGCACCACAGCTCAAAGGTGTCAATTCTCCTTCTATCCTCCCTAGTCATTGTCCAACTCTCTGATGCATAACAAGTGATTGCAAAGACCATGGCCTGTATCAGGTGCACCTTAGTCTCCAGAGAGACACCGTTGCTCTTGAGTACTTTAGAGACATCATTAACAGCAGACTTTCCCGTCGCAATACGTTTTTTGATTTCCTGACTGCTGGTGCCAAAAGTGTTGACCGTGGAGCTGAGCAAGCTGAAGCTGTGAACAATCTCAATCTCTTCGCCATCCATCCTGATGCTAACAATTGGTCCAGTGGTGAGAATTTTTGTCTTCTTGACATTGAGCCTCAGTCCATTTTGAAGGCTGTAGTCCTTAACCCTCTGCAGTAAGTGCATGAGGTCCTCCTCAGTTTCAGGGAGCAAGGTTGTGTCATCTGCATAAAGCAGATTGTTAATAGATCGTCCACCAATCCTAACGCCACTCCTCTCCTCATAGAGCCCCGCCTCTCGGATAATCTGCTCTGCATACAGGTTGAAAAGGTATGGAGACAGGACACATCCCTGACATACACCCTTCCCAATTTTGAACCATGCAGTGTGGTTAGCCTTATAAATATATTAATAAATATAAATTGGGCCTATGAAAATGTTTTTGCTGTTGTAACTATAGGGGAACCCTGGTTGTGTAGTCCATAGGGAATTGAAATTCTACCCCCAAGGTCTTCCCCTTCTATTGGTTCAAATCCACCAGCCACTGCATAGGAGAAAGATGAGCAATCTCATTCTGTGCATTTTATAGTCTCAGAAAACCAGCTGGAGGGTCAGTTATGAGTTGGTCCTGAGTTGATGTAATGAGAGAGGAAGAGCGAGTGTGTGAGGGAGAACACATTAACCATAGGGATATTTTTATAAAAGGTAATCATTGCTGCAGAAATGGTGCACAAACATTTTATAGCTGGTCATTCCCTCTGACTGTGTGAGATCTCCACATCCCTACCTTCCATGTTACTTTGCTTAGAAAGTTACAACACAGCCTTAGAAGGCAATAAGAAAGAGGGAGTCCGCAACCCTTTAGAGCAAAGGGTTTGTCAAAATAAACACAGAAGTTCTTAAACCCAAACCCAACCTACTGCCAGTTGAGTTAATTCCAATGTAACAGAGACCTTCCATTGGCTGAGGCTGTAAACCTTTACAGGAGGGTACTGACCATCTTTTTTCTGTGGAGATGTTGGTGGATTCAAACAGTTGACCATATCAATTAGCACGGCGACATGGAACACCCTACTCTATCCGAGCTCCTTGAACTTCTCCAAATGACTGCTAAAAAGGCACAAACAGTAAATTTTTTTTTTTTAAAAAGTGAGGTGAGTAGATTGTGGCCACTAGGTGGCAACAAGCTACCAGACATTGATACTGGGGCTGAACCCAGGCCTGGAGAGAATGTGGTAGGCAAACAGAATAGTGTGGATTTGTTATCCACCATTCGAGGAGAACCAGTAAATACAATGTGATCAGCAGTCAACAGCTCAAGTCTGGCCATCTTAGGTGAATAGCTGGCAGTGGGTCTGAGGGAGTTCTAAAATGTCATAGTTAGATTTCAAAGTCAGAAAACTGGCATGTCCACAGTAGCTGGCTTTTGAGACAAGAGAGGCTGTGTTAGCACAAGAAGAGGCATGTGTTTCTAACAGAAAGGAGGGTATGGCTATAGCAGCTGCCCTTAGAGACAAGAGGGGCATGTGTTAGCAAGACCTCTGGGATTACCAAGGAAGATTTACTTCTCTCCAGGACAAATGGAATTGCCTACAACATAAAGGACAGGACCAACGACGGCCTTGAGTGAGAACCTGAAAATGTATGTCCAATCCCTTTAGGAACTGATTGAACAAAATAAGACTTCTGATAAGCATAAAATAAGCATTTTATGAGCAACCTATTAAATACATGAAAGTACAAGTAACTGTCCTGTTATTTATAGAGCTTCTGGCATTGACAAGGAGTCCTCAGAAATTCAAACTTGATTCAGAAAAGAACATGGAACTAGGGATATCATTGCTGAAGTCAGATGGATCATGACCGAAAGCAGAGAATACCAGAAAGATGTTTACTTGTGTTTTCTGGACTATGCAAAGGCATTGGGCTGTGCGGATCATAATATAATAATGGATAATATTAACGGGAATCACAAAGCACTTAAAAGTGTTCAGGCAAAATTTTACATAGACCCTGAAACAGTTGTCCAAAAGGAACATCACAGCATTTAAAATCAGGAAAGGTGTGCATCAGGGCTTTCTTTTCTCCATACCTATTCAATCTGCACTGAGAAATGAGGAAATCGCTGAGAGGCTAGACTATATGAAGAAAAATGTGTCATCAGGATTGGAGGAAGAGTCATCAACAATCTACGTTATGTAGACAATACAACACTGCTTACTGAAAGGTGAGCAAAATTTGAAAAATTTACTACAAAAGATCAACTACTACAGCCTTCAAGATGGACTACATCTCAGAATCAAGAAAACAGAAATCTTCTCCACTGGGTCCACAGCGATCATGATATAAAGAGAAAAGATTGAAGCTGTTAGTAACAATCAACACACAGTGTGGCAGCAGTTAAGAAATTAAAAGATGTACTGCATTGGCAAAATTTTGAGTCGAGGACCTCTCCAAAGTGCTAAAGAAAAAGAGTTGAGAGACTATTGTGCACCTGAAGTTGAACAATGAACAAGAATGACAGAAGAAGAATTGATGCCTTTCAGCTGTAGTGTTGAAGAAGAGTATTGAATATCCCACAGACTGCCAAAAGAACAAATGTCTTTCTTGGCAGAGGTGCAGGCCCAGTGCCTCTTAGAGGCAGTGACAGTGAAACCTCATCTGATATATTTTAGTCATTTTGTCATGAGGGAGCAGTCCTTGAGAAAAAACCTCATATTAGGAAAGATGGAGGGTGAGAGAAAGACTCTCAACAAGATGATTGACACAGTGACGACATGCTGCTCAATGGCTCAAGCTTGTAAGGGATGGTGAAGATGGAGCAGGACAGGACAAGGTTCAGGTATGTTGTGCACAGGGGGCTATGAGTCATAGTTGATTTGAAGGCTTCTAACGACAGCATGAGTACAGACCTGAACCTATATGGCTGGAGCTCAATGTTATCAGTAATCATAAAGTCCTTGGAGCTCTGGCAGCCTGGTGGTAAGAAGCTGTGCTACAATCTCAAAGGCCGGCAATTCCAATCCACTAGCTGCTCCACCGAGAGAAGGATGAGTAGTCTCCTCCGAGAGTCACTGCTTCTGAAAACCCGCTGGAAAGTCAGCTGTGGGTCAGTTCTGACTCAATAGCACACAACAACAACAATCATAGCAAAGAAAAAGTAGAGGGGAAAAAAATCCTCCTTGAATTTCTCTGGAATGCAAAGAAATAAGGAATAGTTACATATAATATTTTAGTGTTTGACTGCTTTGAAAATGTCTATAACAATTCAGTGATTCTACATTCTTTCTTGCTTTTTTTTTTTTTTTAACATGAGGTCTTCATCACAGTAATTTTTATGAAAGGAATTTGCCAGGACTTTCGTCTTTGAAACTTCTGGGTAGACTTGAACTGCCAACCTTTTATACCACCTAGGCCCCAACAGCTATGATAAAAAAAACCTCATTGTTTTAGAGTCAGTTATGATTCCTATGACTGTTCACAGGGTTTCTGAGGCTGCAAATAGAAAAGCGGGAGACAAGCATCTTTCTCATGTGGAGCTGCTGGTGGATTCCAACTGCCAGAGATGGGCCTTCGGGTCAGCAGTGCAGCTCGCTATGGACTCACCACCAGACACCATCATAGCTATTATCAAACCTCACTGACAGCCACAGCTGACCTTCCAGTGGCTTTTCAGAAGGCTGTAAAGCACATACCGGTGGATTACATATTTTTTCTCCTAGGAGCCCCTAGTGGGCTTAGCAATATATGTCCCTATGGACCAGATCTTCCCTATCTATAGCTATGATAAAGCTCCATAGTGAAGATTTTGCTGGGGAATGTTGGGGAGGATGGGAGGGCCTCTGGCCAGGACAGATCGCCTAAGCTCTGGATAAGTGCAAGCCTCCCAATGGCCTTTAATGCGGGGTAGAGAAAGCTCCCGTGTGTTTGGCTGTACCAGCCGGAGAAAGCTTGCCACCTGGGAAGACGGCTGCCGCATTTGTTGAGCTGGGAGTGGTCCCTATAAGGCTGAGGTTGTCCTATCCAATCCACATGTCCTGCATCTGCAAGCTCACACTATCTTGTTTTCCTGTTTATTTGTTCATATATAAGTGCCCTGCAGTCCCCAATAAAATTGAGCTGCATTGACTCTCTGATCCTCTGCTGGAGTGGTGTGTCTCTGTTGTGCTTGCCCCCATAACGGTGTCACTGTTTGTTGCCAGTGAACAGACAGCGAAAAGATTTCTTGATACAACAGTTGTGACTGCTTAGCTTAGGTCGTTAGAGCATGGGGCTAATAATAAAGATTTCTTGATACCATTTACAAATGGGACTATCATAGCAAACAATTCACCTTAGACATGAAAAGCCACGGATACTCAAACCATTAAATGACTTTTTTTCTTAAATGACTTTCTAATAAAGCAAAGGTAATTACCTTGTGATTTGTAAACAAGATGGTCTTCATTCAGGCCTAACTTGATTGGGCAGTGGTCTATACTTGTTTCACCTTTAGACAGCTTTATCTTTAGGGAGAACATACAAGAAAGATTATTTCCACATAGCCTCCCTGTGGGATTTACCTTTCTGCCTTCATCTTTATCTCCCTCAGATTGCTTTGCCTGTGCAAAGTACCTGTGAATCCCACCATCATATTACTTACCTTAGCAAAAGGTTTCCAGGTGAGATCAAGGTGGAAAAAAGTAGATGGTATATCCGAAGGAATTTCAATAGTTTCTTCCTTCTTTTTCTCTGTTGTCTGTGGGGTTAGAGTTTTCTGTGGTCTGAGATCCCAAAAACATATTGTGCTAAAAAAATTGAAGTATATATGTATATATATTTTTAATTTTTTTTAAATAAAATTTTTATTTTATACTAGTTTACTTACAAAGTTCATATACATTGTTTTTCACACTGGATCTTTCCCATCTCCTTTTCCCACCTCTCTCCTTCACCCCATCAAATTGTGTGATCCTATGATTAATACCCCCCCAATGCCCATTCATCCTCACCCTTCTATTCTGCCCCCCGCCTTGGATCCTCATACCCATTCTACAGTAATGGTCTTACAAGAGTATTTGTCCTTATGAGACTGAGTTGGTTCACTTAGCATGATGCTCTCCAGTTCCTCCCAAGTTAGGTTGTAATTTACAAAATCTTTGTCCCTGTTTGTTGTGCAGTATTCCATTGTGCGACTGTACCATAATTTCTCAATCCATTCGATTGTGTTTGGACATTTGGGCTGTTTCCATGTTCTTGTGATGGTGAATAACGCTGCTATTAACATTGGTGTATAAGTCTCCGTTTGTGCCTAATTTCTCAATTTCTCAGGGTATAGTCCAAGCTGGGTCATATGGAATTTCTATGTTCAGTTTTCTAAGGATATGCCACATGCCTTCCGGAGTGGTTGTGCCATTTGACAATTCTACCAACCGTGTATGTCAGTTCCTATCTCCCCACATCCTCTCCAACATTTATTACTTGCAGTCCTGTTAAATTTTGACACTGCGACTAGAGTGAGATGGTGTTCATTGTGGTTTTGATTTGCATCTCTCTTATTACCAGTGATTTGGAGCATTTCTTCATGTGTCTGTTGGCCATCTGAATATTTTCCTCGGTGAAAAGTCTATCTATGTCTTTTGCCCATTTTGTAATTAGCTTATCAATCATATTAAACTTTCATTATGAGACCCTTGTATATTGCCAAATGTTTTGGGTTTTTTCCAGTTTGTAGGGTTTTTTTTCAATCTGTTGGAAAATATTTTTGATGCACACAGGGACTTAATCTTTAGAAGATCCAGTTCATCAATTGTATACTCTTCAGATCGTGCATTTCTAACTGTATTTGACAGTTTTTTTATAGCATAGACTATCCATCCAAGCTTGATCCCAGTTTGTCTCCGATGACCTTTATGGTTTTGGGCTTTACTCCCAGGTTTCTGATCTACCTTGAGTTAATTTTTGTGTATGGTGTGAACTATGTACAGTAATATTCATAGCAGCATTATTCACCATGGCAGGAACATGAAAACAGCCTAAATACCCAACCACAGTTGAATGTTTGGAGCAATTATGGTACATTCACACAATGGAATACTAAGCAGCAAACAGGAGCAATGATTCTATAAATTACAACCTAACTTGGAAGGGACTGGAGAACATTATGCTAAGTGAACCAACTCAATCCCATAAGGACAAATACTGACTAAAAGAATTATTGTAGAATGTGTTTAAGAATCCAAGACAGAGAGGGTGGGAGCAGAGGTGTGATTGTGAGCAGGTGGTGCAGGTGTGGGGTATTAATCATAGGGTTGCACAATTTGATGGGTGGAAGGAGGGCTGGGTAAAGGAAGTGGGAAAGATCTGGTGTAAAAACAATGTACAAGAACATTGTAAGTAAACCAGTATAAAATAATAACTTCATTTTTAAAAAAAGCACACTAGGCTCAAAGCAGACATTTTTACAGATAACTTGACGACTTTTTGGTTTTAAGAAAATACCAGAGAATAATTTTAAGGTTTAATATTATCTCTGGGGTTGGGGTGGGGGGAGAGAAGGGCAGGGAAGAAAATGTGCAATAGTGAATGAATGGAAATCCAAGTTCTTTATAAACTTACAATAAAATCTCGATTAAAAGAAAACAAATATTGTCTCTGAATAGTTTCAGGGACTCATTGAGCTTTCATGGCTACAGAAACAATGCCATTGAAATAATTCTGAGTCTATACTTAAAAGGAATATAGTTGGTGTGTGATTTTCCTTTTTTTGTTATTTTTACCTGGCTTTGCTGTCAGGGTTATGTTGACCGTGCAGAAATAATTTGGGAATATTCCTTCTTTTCTCTACTCTGAAATCATCTCAGGAGTACTGTTGTGAGCTCTCCTGTGAATATTTGGTACAATTTTCCAGTGAAATCAGAGGTGTTTTGTTGTTTCTGTAGTTGTTGTTATGTGCTGTCGAGTCGCGTGCAACTCATAGCGACCCTATGTACAACATCCCTAAACTCTGCTCTGTCCTGTGCCAATCGCACTGCCTCTGACTCTCCCATCTCAGTCACTGAATCAATCCACTTCATAGTGGGTCTTCCCCTCCTGTGCCGTCCCTCCACCCTCCCAAGCATCATGTTCCTCTTCAAGGACCTGTCCCTCCTTACAATATGTCCAAAGTATGTCAGACGAAGCCCCAGAATCCTTGCCTCCGAGGAGTAGCCTGATTTAACCCTCTCCAGGATGAATCTGTTTGTTTTCTTGGCAGTCCATGGTACATTCAATACTCTTTTCCAGTACCACAGCTCAAAGGCATCAATTCTCCTTCTATCCTCCCTAGTCATTGTCCAACTTTGTTTCTGTTAGGAGTTTATTTATTATCTCTTTGTTGATCTAGAGTGTTCATACATGGCAGAACAGAACTGCCCATATTTTCCAAGGCTGTAAATCTTTATGGAAGCAGATTGCTTCATTTTTTTCCTGTGTAGGGGTTCAAAGCACCAACCTTTTGGCTATCAGTTGAATTCTTTTCCACTACGTCACCAGAGTTTCTTACCTTTTGCCTGGATATGATGAAAATATAAAAAGGTTCTCCCACCCCCAAAAAAAGGTTCTCCCAATTGAATGTTATACATATTTATGATTATGAATTAAACTTGAATATGAACAGCATTATCATAAATGTATAAATATGAGAATATAAAGAATTGGATTAACTATGATAAAACTATACAGTTTTATCAATCATAAAAGCTAATTCTTCTTTTGATAATATATTTATACATCTGCAAATATTTTTAAAATCATTAACAATCTATAACACTTTGTCCTTTAATTATAGGACGTTTGATTAGGATGTTGTGGTTGTTATATGTTGTAGTTAGAACTGACTCATAGCTGTCTCTCTAGTGGGTTATCAGAGAGAGGAGATTGCCCATCTTTCTTCTGAGAAGCAGCTGGTGAATTAAAACCGTGTAACTTTGGGGTTGGCAGTGCAGATTTTTTATCACTACGATAGTAAAGATTCTTTAAAGGTGAGAGGATGGTAATTTTAGGAACATGGTTAAATTTAAACACAATTAAAATAAAACATACCAATCTGCAGAACATGTTACAAGTTGACAGCATATTTCATTTCGGTTCTCAAAGACAGTACCTGTCCTGTTAATCTATTATTAAATAAACAAACAAACAGAAAATAAATGTAAAGTTAAAATAAAAATTTTGAAAATTAAAACAAATGTTTATCTGCAATAATATGTTCCCATAACTTTAAGTACTTTTATTCTTATTCTTTGAACCTTTAATTTTTATAAAAAGTTTGCACAGATTTTTAAGATAAAACATAATTCTGTCATATATTCTAGTCTAATCCTTTTTCATACAATTTTGACATAGCTTTACTGACAATGCGTGTAATATTTTTATCCTGAGATTTTCCTTCAACCTAATTTGAACATTTACCCACGTAATTATAAATAGTCGTATATTTCATATAGTAACTATATGAAATACAGTTCATAACTATATGAAATATTATGTTGTTGTTGTTATGTGCCGTTGAGTCGCTTGCGACTCATGGCAACCCTATGTACAAAAGCTCTAAACTCTTCTCTGTCCTGTGCCAATCACACTGTCTCTGACACTCCCATCCCAATTGCCCCAGTCACCGAGTCAATCCATCTCCCAGAGGGCCTTCCCCTTCTGTGCCTGCCCTCCACCCTCCCAAGCATGATGTCCCTCTCCAAGGACCGGTCTCTCCTTACAACATGACCAAAATATGTCAGACGAAGTCTCAGAATCCTTGCCTCCAAGGAGCAGCCCGGTTTAACCCTCTCCAGGATGAATCTGTTTGTTCTCTTGGCAGCCCATAGCACCTTCAGCACTCTTCTCCAACAGCAAAGCTCAAAAACATCAATTCTCCTTCTATCCTCCTTGGTCATTGTCCAGCTCTCTGATGCATAACAAGTGATTGCAAAGACCATGGCCTGTACCAGACGCACCTTTGTCTCCAGAGACACACCATTGCTCTTGAGTACTTTAGAGAGTTCCCTAACAGCAGACTTTCCCATGGCAATACATCTTTTAATTTCCTGGCTGCTGGTGCCAAGAGTGTTGATGAGATATTATACAATTACTTAAATTATTTATGATTACTTGAGCAAATTTTCAAATACTTTTTCAATCTCTTCTGTTATATGCAGAACAGATCACTCAGGAAGCTGGGCTTTATGATGAGGAATGTGGCATCAGGATTGGAGAAAGACTCATCAACAGCCTACTTTATGCAGATGACACAATCTTGCTTGCTGAAAGTGAGGAGGACATGAAGTGTTTGCTGCAGAAGGTCAAGGACTGTAGTCTTCAATAAGGACTGAAGCTCAACCTCAAGAAGACAAAGATTCTTACCAGTGGGCAGATTGGCAGCATCATGATAGATGGTGAAGAGATTGAGACTGTTAACAATTACAGCCTGCTAAGCTCTACAATCAACATTCTTTTAGTAAGGAGATCAAAAGATGAATTACACTGGGAAAATCTGCTATCAGGGACCTCTCAAGAGTACTGAAAAATAGTGTCATCAGTCTAAAGACTAAGGGGCTTCTGATCCAGTCCATGGTCTTTGTAATTACTTGTTATATATTAGAGAGCTGAACAATGACTAAGGATGATAGAAGAATCTATGCCTTTGAGTTGTGGTTCTGGAGAACAGTCTTGAACATACCATGGACTGCCAAAGAAACAAGTAAGTCTGTCCTGGAGAGTGTGAAACCAAGTTTCTCCTTGAAGACAAGGATTTTGAGGCTCTGTCTCACACATACTTTGGGCATGTGGCCAGGAGGGACCAGTCTTTGGAAAATGACATCATGCTCAGAAGGGTGGGAGGATAGCGCAGGAGAGCAAGACCCTGGATGTGATGGCTTGATACAGTAACTGGGGCAATGGGGGTTGGTGTGTCAGAGTCAGTGAGACTGGCTCAGGACAGGGAATGTTTCAGAGCTGTTGTATACAGGGTTGCTATGAGTCACAGGTGACTCAATGGCACATAACAACAACTATAACAACAACAATGTAAATGTTGTACCATAATTTAATTATTATTAACAGAACTGCCAGAAGTGCAGGCTGAGTTTAGAAGAGGCTGTAGTACTAGGGTTATTATAGCTAATGTTAGCTGAAAGCAGGGAACACCAGAAGAATGTCTACCTGAGTTTCATTGACTGTGCAAAGTCGTTTGACTGTGTGGATCATAACAAACTGTGGCTAACTCTGAGAAGAATGGGAATCCCAGAACACTTGATAGTGCTATTGCAAAACCTGTACTTGGACCAGGAAGCAGTCTTTAGAACTGAGCAAGAGAACACTGCATGGTTCAAAATTGGGAAGGATATACTCCAGACTCAGCGGCACTTAACAACAATAATATCAACATAGAGAGAGAGACCAGCTGGCCCAGTGGACAGAAAGCGATGCTACCAAGCCAAAGGTGGGTGACTTTTAATCTGCGGCCCTCAGGCCTATCTTTCATTGTTTTTGTTCAGACATTCCTTTAGGTCATATAGCCCTGGTGTACAAATTGCTGTACCATGGTCACTTTGGTTGCTGTGAGGCTGAACACTGTGACACTGATGTGTCAAATGCATTAATGGCTGGCTACCCAATGCGGACAGAGAGTGGGGTGGAGCTCCCCGATTAAAACAAGCTTGGAAGGAGGAGTGGCATCCACTTCCATAATAGCTTGCCTCTGGCAACCCTATGAACCTGGAGAGAGGATAAAAGGCACCCAAGCTTCGGGGACTCTCCTTCATAGGGTCACTATGAGTTGCCTGAGACTCGAGGGCACTTAACAACAACAACATACTCCAGGGATGTTTCCTGTCTCCATACCTTTTCAATCTAGATGCAGAACAGATTATCTGGGAGGCTAGGCTCTATGAGGAAGAATGTGGCATCAAGATTGGAACAATCTGCATTATGCAGATGACACAACCTTGCTTGCTGAAAGTGAGGAGGACCTGAAGTGTTTGCTGCACCCTTCCATGTGGATTGAAACTCAACATCAAGAAAACAGTGATTCTCAACATTGGGCCAATTGGCAGCATCATGATAGACGGTGAAGAGATTGAGATTGTTAACAGCTTTAGTTTGCTTGGCTCCACAGTCAACACTCTTGGTACCATCATACAGAAGATTAAAAGAAAAATTGTGTTTTGGAAAATCTGCTGTCACCAGAGTACTGAAGAGCAACGATGTCACACTGGAGACTAAGGTACACCTGATCCAGACAATAGTATGTGCAATTCCTTGCTATGCATTAGAAAGTTGGACAATGAGTAGGGACTACAGAAGAAGAATTGATGCCTTTGAGCTGTGGTGCTGGATAAGAGTATTGAATATACCATGGACTGCTAGGAGAACAAACAAGTTTATCCTAGAGAGGGTGAGACCAGGCTGTTCTTTGGAGCAAGAATTCTGAAGCTTTGTCTGACAGACTTTGGACATGTTTCAAGGTAGGACAAGTCCTTGCAGAGGGATGTCAAGCTTGGAAGTGTGGAGGGGCAGCACAAGAGAGGAAGACCCTTGATGAGATGGATTGATTTAGTGACTGTGGTAATGGGGGTAGGTGTGTCAGAGACAATAAGTTTGGCACAGCATAGTGCAGGGTTTGGGGCTGTTGTACATAGAGTCACTATGAGTTGCAGGTGACTCGACAGCACATAACAACAAAAACAACAACCATATGTGTAGGTTCTTTCAGCTTTTCTGTGCTAATTCCTTGTAAAGACATCATGCTGGAGAAAGTGGAGGATCAGAGTGAGAGAAAAGGACCGTAACAAGATGGATTGACATATTCGCTGTAACAATGGGTTCAAATATAACAGAGATCATGAGGAAGAGGCCAGATAGCACAAGGTTCAGATCTGTTGTTTATAGGGTCTCTCTCCATGAGTTGCAGTTGACTCACAGCACCTAACAACAACAAACTGTGGAGCCAAACAGAAATGTTTATGTGGCTGTTAAATAGATTAGGTCAATAGAAAAGAGACTTGGTGTTAAATAATATACCAATGGTGCACTGTTGCCAGTGACGGTTCCATGATTTAAGGAATTAGAAATAGCATTCCGCAAACATGCATAGGATTGGTAGGAGGTTTTATGACCCCTGTGGGGTGCAGAGAACCAAACCAAGTATATCTTCAAGTATATCCTCAACTCATGGCAACCCTGTATGTATGTCCACAGTAAGTTGTGCCTCACAAGGTTTTCAAGACCACACCTGACTTTCAAATCACTCCAAGGTGGATGCAAACAATCGATCTTCCCACTACTTGTTGTTGATTGCCATCGAGTCGAGCACAACTAATAGTGACCCTATGAACAAAAGGTCTGAAGTCCCTCTACAACTATCGACATTTATCAAAGTTCATAGAATTTCTGGAGGCATGTTGTTTAGGAAGTGGATGCCACTCCTGCTTCCAACTGCTAGCTGAGTATTTTACCATTTTCACTAAAAGGCTCCAGATTCCAATCAATTTAGCTTTCAAATGAAGTTACATTCTTTGCAACAAAGTGTCACTCTGAGTCACCAGAAAATATGGCCAACCCTTCTGTCCATCTAAAATGAGTACTGATGAGCACAGTAGTGAACAAGGGTAGGACTTCAACAGCAAGAAAGGAGTGAACACAGAACTAGGAGAAAGGATGAAAACAGGGGCACTGATGAGGTTTGTTGGGTGTCACAGAAGACAGGCAACCTGTCCACAGATTCAAGAAGCAGTGATCTGAACACAACAAGGAAACACTGACTAGTTTAAGATCAGGAAAGATGTGTCAGGGTTGTCTCCTTTCAGGCCACACCTATTCAATATGTATGCTAAGTAAAGAATTCAAGAAGTTGGACTATATAAAGAATAGTATGTCTTCAACAAATAGTGCTGGCAAAACTGAACTGCTCCTGTAGAAAGCTTAAACAGGATCTACATCTCACATCATACACAAAAATAAACTCAGGTGAATTAGAGATTTAGAGATAATGACCCAAACCATAAATATCATAAGAGACAAAATTGGAAAAAATTAGAAGCCTACCCTATGGTATAAATAGGTTATCAAATACAGTCAGAAATACACAGGCAGGAAAGGATAACATCTGTGGACGGGACCTTCTAAAGATTAAGCCCTTGTGTGCATCAAAAACTTATTCCAATAGGGTGAAAAGAAAACTTACCACCTGGATAAAAATACAAAACAAAACAACCCCAAACATTTGGCAATCTCATACAAGGGTCTCATAATGAAAGTTTACAGAGTACTCCTGGGCCTCCACAAGAAAAAGACTGATAACACAATTACAAAATGGGCAAAAGACATGGAAAGACTTTTCACAGAGAAAGATATTCAGGTGGTCAACAGATAAATGAAGGAATGCTCAAATCACTGGCAATGAGAAATGCAAATCAAAACCACGATGATATACCATCTCACCCTTCTAACAGTGGCAAAACTTAACAGGACAGCAAGTAATATAAGTGTTGGAGAGGAAGTAGCAAGACAGGAACTCACATACACTGTTGGTGGGATTGTAAACTGGTACAACAGTTTGACATTTCTTCAAAAAACTGAACATAGAAATTCCATATGACTCTGCTATTCCACTGCTAAAAATATACCCTGAGGAACCAAGACATAAATGAGGTTTTATACACCAATGCTCACAGTAGCACTATTCACAATAGCGAGAACATGGGAACAACCCAAATGTTCATCAACAAAATAATGGATTGAGAAATTGTGGTACATTCACACGACAGAATATGCAGCAATCAGGAGCAATGATTTTAAAAAATACTATATAACACGAGAAAGGCTAGAGAGTATTAAGTTGGGTGAACTAACTCAATCTCATAAAGACTAATACTGCATAAAACCATTATTGTAAAAATAAAAGGATAACTAATAAGATGCGTATAAATGTCCAAAGCAGAAAGGAGCGGAGGCAGGTTGGCTGGGGGGGAGAGGAAGAGTTACCAGGTGGCAGAGTTTGCAGCAGCAGCAGCAGCAGCCACCGCAGAGCTTACCAATTTCACTACCTCATCCTTTTTTTTTTAAATCATTTTAATGAACATTTACAGAGAATTTGGATTTCCATTCATTCATTGCTGCACTTCTCTCCCCGCCCAGCCCCTCCCGCCTCAGTTCACGACTCTCTTTCAAAAGTAAAAGAAACACTCCTTCCCTGGTACACAATCCCTTCCCGCCACCCCCTGCACCCCTCCCACCGCCCCAAGTACATTCCACTACGCAACAGTAATTGTGGACTCTTGTGATAACCATAATGCCCTATCATACATCGCTTTTAAATTATTCATTCCCTCATCTGTTTCAGTGCAGTATACACAATATACCTCATCTTTTCTAATATGGGGTATTATTTTAAAATAAAACAGGTAAAATAAAATTTGCCTTTTGGTTTAGAAATTCTCACATGGATATTTTGCATCTGTCAACCTAATCTTTTGTGACATCTTGCAAAAACTTAATCCTATTCCACAAATCGGAATTTCTATTCTGATGTGCTATTTTTTTTTATAATTTAAGTTGTTGTTGTTGATTGTCTTTGAGTCAAGCACGAGTCATAGCGACCCTATGAACAAAAGGCTTGAAGCCCCTCTACAACTAACTAAATTTATCAAAGTTACGGGGTTTCCAGAGGCATGTTATTTGGGAAGTGGATGCCACTTCTTCCAAATAATTCAAGTCAGTAAATTTAAACTTATAATCCACATAAAATAAACTTTTTGATGATATGACTTGTTGGTTAAAATAGAGTTCTTCCTCTTATATTGTATTAAATTTTCATATAGCTGCACTATTTTGATCCATTATTACTTTAAAATTACTGTTGTTTCACATAATACATTTGGACAGACAGTAGTGCTAATCACCTAATTCTAGTTTTTAAAACCATCCTTTTATATTCTCACTTGTTAGTTCTTCAGAGTTCACAATAGACTCTTGGTCTCCTTAAAGAAACCATCTGAAAGCTTTACTAGTTCTAACAGTCACGACCACTACCTTTTATGAGTTTACAGTCAGGAAGCAAGGGGTCACACTGAAAGGTAAACATGAGGCTGTCTGTCAGCATGGCTCACTTATTGGTTAACAAGTTTTCACCTGTAAAGCACACTTACCTCAAGACAGTACCTCAGTACAATCACACGTTACTGTATATCACTGATCTTAAGGATAGCCTTCCAACAAATAGCTGAGATCACTAATTTTAAATCTAGGAATGCTAAGAGTGTAATATAGTTTCCTTTTATTTTTATATATAAAATTTTTATCTTCTTTCTTACTCTATTGGATTAATTTTGATTCCAACAATATTTTTAGTGGTTATGCATGATCCAACCCAAGAGATGGGCTTTATTCTCATACCCAATTCAGATATTGATTTAGCATATAAAGGAATTGGTAAAGAGAAATTAAATATTCTCTTTCAACAAAGTATTTTAGAAATACTTTTATAATAAAGGAGGAGAAAGTGTCAAGCCATCAATACTTACCTCAAATGTGTCAGACAGCCAATGTATATCTGTAATTACTTTCTTATGTCCATTTTCTATTGAAGAGATTGCACAGTGTCTGATATACATTGCTTCTTTATTGCTATCTGGTTCAAGGAGAAATATGGGCTGGAAAAATTAAAAGACAGCTGAGTCCTACATGGAGAGTACTGATATTTTATTAATATTAAAATTAATATTTTATTCATTATTTCTACTTGGTATGGGTTGAACTGTCTCATTGAAAAAGGTTGTATAAAAGTCATAGCTCTTATCATGCAGTTATATGTTAAAATATGTGTAAACTTGGCTGGGGCATGATTCTCAGTGGCTTTGCCGTTATGTAAAGAGATCATATAGAGTTAGCAAATCATTATCCCTCATGATCTGATCAGCTGTTTCAATATCAACTCTCCTAATCAGATTACAGCCCTGATCCAAGGTAGGGAGTTTTCCTGGGATGTGGCTTCCATCATTTCCCATTTTACAAAAGATAATGAGAGAAAAACAAGCAGAGAGAGAGAGAGGTTGTGCCACCTGAATAATGCAGGCTGCCAATGAGCCTTCCTCTGATCCTGATGCCACATTCTTCTTCACAGAGTGCAGCTTCACAGATTATTTGCCCATTATACATAGTGAATAGGTATGGAGAAAGGATACAGTCCTGAAGCACACCTTTCCTGATTTTAAATAATGCTGTGTTCTCATGCTCTGTTCAGACAACAGCTTCTTGGTTTCACATAGCACAATTAAGAATTCTTTGATTCCCATTCTTTTTGATGTTACTCATACTTTGTTTGTTATGATCCACACAGTCAAACGTCTTTGTGTAGTCAATAAAACAAAGATAGACATTCTTCTGGTATTCTTTGCTTTCAGCCACGATCCATCTAACATCAGCAATGATATCTCTGGTGCCACAGCCTTTTCTAAATTCAGCTTTAATGTCTGTCAGTTTCCTTTCAATTGATGTACTGTTCTAGGCATGTTTTGATGATCTTCAGAAATACTCTTCCTGAAAGTTATATTAATGTTGTGGTCTGATAATTCTCACATTCTGTTAGATAACTTCTGTTATAAATGGGAACAAATATGGATCTCTTAAGAATACATGCATAGATAGATACAACAATAATAGATAGATACAGAGATATAAATTCTTTTTTTATTGAGAATTTAATTAAAGTTTATAAAAAACTTGGGTTTCTAATTGTTCATTGGTGAGCATCTTCCTCCCTGACCCCTAACCCCTAGATAGCTTTTTTCTTGGTGAAAAAAGTTCTTTCATTGTTATACAGACACCACCCCCCACCCGTACCCCAGACCACTTTACTATGCAGCTCTCATTCTGGACTCTTCTCATGCCAATAATACCTAATAATATATTCCTTTTATACAGTTCTCTCCTTCGTCTGTTTCAATGCCATGTACATTATTTATCCCATCTTTTCTTAGTTTCTCCCTAGCCCCCATGTCAGTCCTGTTTTATAACAGTGGAATTATGCCATATTTGTCTTTTTGTGACTGAGATATTTCACTCAGCATAATGTCCTCCAGAGTCGCCCATTTTCTATAATAATTCATGAGTTCCTTGTTTTTCAATGCAGCATAGTATTCCATTGTATGAATATACCATAGCTTCTCCATTTGTTTGTTGATGAGCACTTGGGCTTTTTCCAACTCTTTGTTATTGTGAAAAAAGTGGCAATAAACATGGGTGTGCATATATCTGCTTGGCTGGCAATTCTAGTTTCTTTAAGTATATTCCCAGTAGTGGAATTGCTGGGTCAAATGGTATTTCTATTTGCAACTTTTTTTCCCTTTTTAAAAATTATTATTAATTTAAATGAAAATTTACAGAGATTTTGGATTTCCATTCATTCATTGTTACACTTTTCTCCCTGCCCACCCTCCAGTTTGTTGTTCTTCTCTTTGAAAAGTAAAAAAAAAAATTTCTTTCATTGTTATACAATCCCTCCCCCCAAGTCCACTCCACTATGCAGCCTTCATTCTGGACTCATGTCATGAGAATAATATCTAATCATATTTGCAAGGTTTTTAAAAAAATATTTATTCTTTTAATTAGAATATGTTTTCCTGACTAGACAGAAATTAATAATTAGCTGTCATTTTCATTTATCTTTCTGGTGTTCCATTAAAAGATTCTCATTTCTAGAATTCATGCATATAGAATTATTACACAAATCTATTTTTTCACATCTAAGAGTTTCTTTCTCAAATAAATTTTAAGTTATATACAATTTCCTTTGAAATATGAGAAAAATGAGGAACCACCTGTGTTTTATACATATGTAGTTCACACTCTTTTAAAGTTTATTTTAAAAAATATCACAAATTAGTATTTATATAATACATTTCCTTGCTGTTAGACAATATTCAAGTATATTTGTGCTTTTTTTGTTTACATATCAGTAGAATCTATTTTTAGCTTTTAGTATTAAACTGTATATCTACAAAGATTTCTCAAATATTAAATAAAAGAAGCCAGTCATTATGAAAATACAAACTGCTTCTACAGTTTTCTCATCTTTACTTCATTTTTTACGCATTTTCCGACAAGCATGTAATTTCCTGTTCTTTAGGGAAGTTGATAAGTCTTTATCTTGGTGATCTCATCACTCTCCCCTCTCGGCTTGGCATAACACATGGCAGGTTTTCTGAAAACACAGTATTCACTCCACAGTGTCAGCTGTAGCAGTGAAATATTTTAACACTGATATTCTTCATTTCTAGTTATTTGAATTGTAGGACCACCTTATTAGCTGCTTCCAAAGAATTTATTAGATTCTGCAGCTCTTCTTTATTCATTTCAACAGAATATGGTTTGACTTCACCATTTTCTTTCACATCGAGATGAAGGTTCACAAGTAGCATTTGTAGTGTAGCAGGTCTTGTCACTAAAAAATACAAGCTTCAACTGCCAATCAAAATCCTGAAGCTGTGCAGAGGAAATGTCAACTATTTCTCCTAATAGAGTCTGCCTGATTTCAACTTTTCTAATTTTCAAGCATTTCATGGGAGCTTCTCATGAGGTGAATTCAATTTATTCAACTGTTGAGACACCTCTTCATTAGGTAAGTTCCTACCCACTACCACTTTGAAAAATGTGGTCACATCCTCGAGAACATGTGTCCATTCATTCGAAGCCCATACACTTTGATAATTCTGGTGGAGAGCGTAAGTCTGGCCACATATACCATCAATTATTTTGCCAAGTAGCTGCAGGCCCTGCTCGGTTGGCAACTTCTGCAGCTGCCACAAGGGTGTCCCCTATTCCGGCTCCATTCTTAGTGTGAAGCCTATTTGCAATTTTTTGAGAAAGCGCCATACTGCTTTCCATAGTGGTTGCACTATTTTACCCTCCCACCAACAGTGAATAAGGGTTCCAATTTCTCAACAACCTCGCCAACATTTGTTGTTTACTGTCCTGTTAAATTTTGCTATTCTTACTGGGGTAACATGATATCTTGTCGTTGTTTTCAGAGATATAAATTCTTAAATGGAACAAACCTGGAAGTAAAAGGTTATGAAAAGCTCACCTTGAGTGTGTTTTTTTTGCTCCTAGTACTACCAGTCTTAATGTTTTCTATGCGATCTGCATGTGCTGTTATATCCCACAAGACAATCTAAAACAGAAATAAATGTGATAATAGCACTATTTTCAGGAAATAGCTAATAGGCAGTAAATGATAATAAAATTGTTAATTTAATCACCTTGAATTTACCCTACATCTTGAGTACATCAACTACCCTACTGCAATTTTTAAAGTCAATAGAAAAAAGAATATTTTCTTTATTATTAAAATATTTCCAGCAGTTCAATGATTTTGTTCACGCTAGGAAACAATGTATGCCATTGCACTAATTCTGACTCATCACAATCCAAGAGGACAGGACAGAACTGGCCCTTACGCCAGACTCTAAATATTTCCGGATTCTAAAGATTTAGATTCTAAATCTTTACGGGCCAGATCAGCAAATCTTTTTCCCATTAGTAACCATTTAAGTGTCAGAAAAACATCATGTAATTTCTGAACGAAGTTTCTGCTTTGGGAAGAGTTCTTCCTGTCTTTGAGAACGTGCCATGAGTGGAAGGGGTGCGTTGGACTCGTTGAGAAACAGTCTGTTCTCCAGAGTGTTATGCTCAAATGCATAACTGTCCAAGAAGTTGGGAAAGTATAGCTTCTATTTAACTGAACAGAAGTTCCTTGGTGTTGCAAATACTTAATGCTCGGCATTAGTCAAAAGATAAGAGATGTGAGTGCACCTAGAGGTACCTCAGAAGAATAGCGTGGTGACCTATTTTCCAAAAGTAGCCACTGAAAACCCTATGAAGTGTCAGTCTCCTCAGATACACATGGGTAGCTGTAAGCTGGAATTGATTCAATGGCAACTGGTATATACATAGGCTCATATTTAACTATCCTTCCAGATAGTCTGAGATTTTTATCTGTAAACGTAAGTATTAGTTAAATACAAGTATACTGAATGACATATTTCTGTTTCTGGTGAATTTCTATTTAAGTTCTGAACCATCTCCTAACTGTATCTACCTATAAGGAAATTTTAGAAGATTCTTAACTCTCTTGTCAAACAGTTGTTAATACTGTGGCTTTTCTCCCCCATGTAGTCTTATGCAAATGTGTAGGCCTACCCCAGAAACACAAACCAACAAGACCTGACTGTGCATTTCCAGTTATAAAGTGGGGTTAGCCTGTGAGCTTTCCCAGCACTGATACCAGGTCTAAGTAACAGCTTTATGCCCTAGTTCCTGGCTTGATAAACAGCACAAAGGCTGTGCTCCTTTCTTCTGTCTAATTGAATTCCTAGGTAAAAACCCCACCACTTAAAACCCATTATAGAATGTTATCTGAATTAATAATTAGCTGAAAAAAATCCAGTAAGTACCTGTCCATTTATGCAGCCTCCAGCAATGATATTGGGGTCACTGGGGCAGAATTTGAAGCAGAAGATGTCATCTGGGCCCTCCAGCATTAACTAAAGCAAACCCCAGATAATCAAGGAGTCATGAAAAAATTACATGTTGGGCTATGACTTATTAATATTGTTGCTATATTACATCAAGACATACTCTAGTCTAGTTGTACTAGTTGTTAATAAGAAATGTGCATTATAGAGTTTTTCCCCCAGACTTCTATCTCTGAATTATAAGTGCTATCAGTTGGACTTTCTTATGTTGGCCATGTGTGAGAAAGTTTACAATCCTCCCTCTCTCTTTTCCATTTTCCATGGAAAACAAAATGTATATCACAGTGAGGGGATTTTATAATGTTTCTATAAGAAAAATTATGAGAAAAGGGACTTATACAATAAATAATATAAGATAGAAAATTTATTAAAAGTAGTGTTCTGAAAGTCCAAAATGTAAACTTAAGTTTCTCTGATATTTTTCTTTGTTTTATCTCTAGATTGGCACATAATGGCATTAAAAAACAAAATATGTTGAATGAGAAATGATGAAGTATTGACATTGATAATATAAACAAGATCAAGTGCTTAAAGGGATTGAAAAAGTATTAAGAAACAGGTGTATAAAAAAATGGTTAGTACCAAAGCTTTTTTGTTTACCACAAAGCAGAATGCCTATTCTTCTAACAAAATGTTTAAAAAAAGAAAGAAGTCCCCAGTAGCCTACTGTATTTCCAGTGCTGGGCTACATGGTTCAAAATGGAATTGAAGTAAATCATCTTGGCCTAGTTGGTACTTTTTTTGTTTGTTTGTTTTTAGCATTAATTATCACTCTTCATTTGATATGCTGAGGATTCTGGGGAAACCTTTACTTTTGAGAATAAAATTTTGTAATACAGAAGAATTTAATGAAATAACATTTGAGCAAGAGCCTATGGTGATGAAGGAAGAAGTTCAAGCCGCTTTGAAGGATATAGCAAAAAATAAGGCCCCAGGAATAGATGATATACCAATTGACATATTTCAGCTAACAGATGCTGCCCTGGATGTGCTCACCAAGTTGTGCCAAGAAATCTGAAGAGATCTATATCTGTTCCCATTCAAAAGAAGGGTGACCCAACAGAGTGTGGAAACTACAGAATGATATCATTGATTTCACGTGGAAGCAAGATTCTACTGAAGATTATCCAAAAACGACTGGAACAGCACATCAGCAGAGAATTGCCAGAAGTCCAGGCTGGGTTTAGAAGGAGTCATGGTACTAGAGATATTGTAGCTAATATTAGATGGATCTTAGCTGAAAGCAGAGAATACCAGAAGAATGTCTATCTGTGCTTCATTGATTATGCAAAGGCGTTTGACTGCGTGGACCATAACAAACTGTGGCTGACTGTGAGACAAATGGGAATCCCAGAACATTTAATCGTGCTAATGTGAAACCTATACTTGGACCAAGAGGCAGTC